TATATATATATTAAAGTTAGTAGTAAAGTCACATGACAAGTTGGAATGTTATATAATTAAATCTTGAAATTTCAATGTTAGACATATAAATACATTAGAATTGCGTGGCATATATGTAACAATTTTTTTAGAAAGATTTACATAGAAATTAATTAATTAATTCATAAGAATTTACATATCTAACGTCTAAACTTTAATTTTTGCATATTTGTCACCAATGATTACGCTTGCACAAAAATAAAAAATGAAAACATTTCAATTTTTAAAGTTAAAATATTTGTAGAGGTTTTTACATACATACAACACAATTCTTACATATTTACGTATATAACATCTAAATTTTCATATTTATATTTATAACACCCATGTCTTTGACATGATATCATAAATACCACCACACCAACAATTTAAACTTGAATACACATTATAATGCATAGTTTTTTTAATGCCAATATGCTATAACTATAAATATAAAATTTCAGATGTTAGATATATAAATACAAAAGAATTATGTGACAATCTAAAAAAAAATATTAAGGGTGTGTTTCGAGCAGCTTGTGTGTTCAGGATAAGCTGTTATCCTGAAATGGGCCCTGGGATTCGGTCCGCGGTTTGCGTTTAGTGTAAAAACTCAAACACGATTTCAGATAAACTGACGAGAAGCGTGAACCAAATGGTACGACGACACACTTATAAGGTGACCCTAACGGTCCCTGAGTTTAGATGCTTAAATAAACAAGAATAACACTTCACTCGCAGAGGAATAATACGAGTGCGCGGAGAACATGTGAAAATACAAGGCGGAGGCGCGAGCGCGTCTGAGGCCTACTGGCGTTGACGAGGTGGGCCCCACAGCAAACGCCAATCTAAATTTCCGTGGAGGGACGAGAAAGACGTGTGTTAATACGGTCCAAAAACAATTCCAATGCCTATCTCCCACGTCATCTTTGTACGTGCATAACTTTATAACTAAAAATAATAAAAAAAGGGAAATTTACATGGATACCATGCAATTCTTATGTAATTACATTTTACACCTACACTTTCATATTTTGATATGTGTATTTAGACGTGTATTCCGCTTTTAAAAAGTGATAATAATACTATTTTAGATGCGATATTAGAAATTTTAACGTAATGTGTATAAATATGAAAGTTAAAGTTTGAGATATGTAAATACATAAGAATTATGTGCTACGTATGCAAATGCCCATAAAAAAAGTAATATATATATATATATATATATATATATA